TTTACCTGAGATATATGCTACTTTTGTATATTTGTATATTCCCCAGCGATCTCCATGTTCTATGTTACCAATTATGAGGACTACTATGGGTATTTCCGTCCTTTATTCCTCTTGCGACGGAGACCAGTCATGTATCGATTTACTTGATTCCGTTGAGACATGATGATAGATCATTTGGTGCGGGAACGAATCTGAGGACGAGGGCACCGTTGATCTGATAAGTGGACGTATGACCGGCTTCGTTCAGGGGAGAGGAACGAATGATTGAGGTGCAGAGGAAGTCATGGAAACTGGATGTGACTTGGCATGAGAGCCTTACCGAAGGTTTTTCATGCAAGTCTGGGTGGTACAGTCACAATCAGGGGTTGATCATCTCGTCCGAGTTGGAGAGGCCGCAGCAGCCAACTCCCGTTGGGGGCTCCACAATAGCCCTACTACTTGCTAGTAGTCATTGTATGTACCGTACCCGATGTACAGGGGACAACAACAACAGTGACACCCGCGAAACAGCTCAAACAAAACAAAGAGAGAAAACAAAATAACTAGCAAAAATAAAATAAATAAATGAAAAACATTTGTGGAGACAGGGGAACAATATAGCTGTTCTTGATAATTTAAACCCATGCCATCTCTACTCCATAGCAGCTCCGAGAACGCGCCAGTAGCTAAATGAAATGGAACTAACGATTCAGTTCCTGAAACATGCTTCGTGCAGCACTCGCGCTGCACGTAAATTAATCGGACTAAAATTTAAGGGCTGAGACGGTCGTTAGGCTACCATGAGAAAAGAAAGGCACCATACGGGTTAACGTTGAACTCGAGCAAGCATCACTGTGAATTTCTTTTTCTTCTCTCTCTCTCTCTCTCTCTCTCGATTTATCGTAGATTACTATGATCCGAACGTCTGTATTCTTAGGAAGGAAAGGAGGAAATGTGATTGATCGCAACCAGACGCCAGAAAAATTAGGATGAGGAAGGTTGGGAGGAGTATGTGTCAAGTTGGTCAAGAATGTATCTCTTTTTTAATTTTCTTTTTCCCCCCTTAACTTAAAGAAAGTAACTGTGAGTAATCCGAACGGTTTCGCGACTCTACTAAAACTCGGGATATTTATAGTAGCTCCCGCGTGAGATTAAGGCTCATTTGCTAGATTAAAAAAGCAAATAAAATCAAATCGCAGCACCAATTCCAGATTAAATTTAGTCTTACTGTCTTTCCCTCCTGTCAATTTCCTGCCCCCCGTGACTTGGGGGCATGTGATCTGGGTGGCCTGCTTTTTCGTCTGTTGTTTTTCGACCTTCCCTTCCTTTCCCTTTCTCTCCCTCCACCTTTCATCGAGCATTTACCACTGCACTGTGATTACTCTCCTGTGCAGTTTCGTTGCCTATAGCGCAGCGCCCGCCGAGCTCCTGACCCATCCATTCCAACCCCTTTTCCGTCCCTCGACTTAAACACCAAGATGGCTGATCAGCAGGAGAAGGCTGCTACGGCTGTCCCTCAAACCCAGCCTCCTACCCAAGCTGCCGAGACCACAACCCAAACAACCGCAACCCCAGTTCCAGAGGTCCAAGCAGAACAGACGCAACCCACGGAGTCTGGTCCGAGCGCCGCCGCCGACACTACAACTGAGCAACCCACCAACCCACCTGCCGCAGAAGCTCCGAAGGAGAACGCAGCTCCAGCTCCAGCCCCGGCCCCGGCCCCGGAGGATGCGCCAGCGGAACCTGCGCCCGCACAGGAGCAGCAGGAAGAGGAGAAGCCTGCAGACAATAAGCCCGAGTATCTGGCCAAGAACCCTGCTTTGAGTGAGCTCTTTGAGCGTCTGCCTACTGTGCTCTCCAACAGTGGTCATGATGAAATGTGGGGTGTCCCCCTCAGGGATTCCAGCGATATTCCGACGGTCAACGTTCTGATCAAATTCCTTCGTGCTAACGAGGGAAATGTAAAGCTGGCTGAGGATCAGCTCACCAAGGCGTTGCAGTGGCGCAAGCAGACCAATCCCACAGCATTGGTTGAGGGCCGCTACAGCGCCAAAAAGTTTGGCGGATTGGGATACTTGAGCACGTACAAGGATGCCGACGGCAAGGAAACCATTATCACCTGGAACATTTATGGAGGCGTCAAGGATCTTAGTACAACGTTTGGAAATGTGGATGAGTAAGTCAACGTCCCCCAGTGAAATCGGGTACATCATCATCTCTGACGGCATGTAGGTTCATCAACTGGCGTGTTGCACTCATGGAGCTTGCCGTCAAAGACTTGAAGATGGACCAAGCTACGTCGGTTATCGACTACGAAGGCGAGGATCCTTATCAGATGATTCAGGTTCATGACTACCTCAACGTCAGCTTCTTGCGCATGAACCCCAGCGTCAAGGCCGCTACAAAGAAGACCATTGACGTGTTCGCCACGGCCTACCCAGAGCTGCTCCGAGAGAAGTTCTTCGTCAATGTCCCCTCTATCATGGGTTGGATGTTCGCGGCCATCAAGGTCTTCTTGAGCAAGAACACCACCCGCAAGTTCCACCCTATTTCCAACGGCGCCAATTTGGCACGGGAGTTCCCGCCTGCCGTCAAGGAACAGTTCCCCAAGGTCTACGGTGGAAGCGCTCCTGCTCTGCACGAGGGCGCCCGTACGGTGGCCCTTGAGGAGGACACCGAGCCAGCTCCTGCCCCCGCTGCTGCCGCGGAACCTACCGAGAACGCCAAGCCAGAGCCAGAAGCCCCCAAGCAGGAACCGGCCGCGGAGGCCCCCAAGGAGGAAGCTCCCAAGGAAGACCTGGTGGAGGCCCCCAAGGAGGAACCCAAGCAGCCAGCTGCCGAAGAGCCGGCCAAGACTGACACGGCTGTTACGACCCAGGAGACAGTGGCTCCCACTGAAGCCAAATAGATGCAACGACTTTGTTTCTTTGATGTTCTGGCCGAGCCAGCTGCTTTTGATGGTAATGGTAGGGTTAATTGGTGGAGAAGAATGCGTAGAGTGGTTTGCCATGCTTGATTTGGGTCTGAAATTTTTGATACCTCGGAAAGTTTGTGTTTATGTCCACAAGAGCCTGTTTGTTCTGAATCACTTAGTTAATTAGAATAGTAATTATTAATAATAGTCCAGAAGCAACGAAGGTGATTGTTTTGTCATTGAAGTATACAAGCACCTCGTACGGAGGAAAGCGTAGGCGGTGGGGGGAACATCGTAACACCGAGACCCATACCTAGTAATTCCGCTCACTTTCTTCATACCTCCGAAGCTCATCCTAAGCTGTCAGGGACCACAAGCTGATAACCGCTCGCGTGCTGTACACGGCAGTCATACTTCTGGTTGTTTTAACCAGAATGCCCCTCACTCTCACCAAATCTTCTCAGTTCATGCGATAATTCGATCACGCTCTAGAATCGCAGACGACTCCCAAACTTCCATTAATTAGAGTCTGGCCTTGTCATTCACGCGCCTACCATCAATCCGTCAGACCAGCAGCTCCAGACAACTCACAATGTCCGTGTGGAACCCCGATAATATCCGCGACGTGGCCGAGTCCGTCGGCATCGTCAACCTCAACAACGATGTAACCGAGAACCTTGCCCGCGACGTTGAATATCGTATCGCTCAGGTGCTTGAAGAAGCCCTCAAGTTCATGCGCCACAGCCGCCGCACTCTCCTCACTACACAGGACATAGCGCAAGCTCTGCGCGTGCTCGATGTGGAGCCGCTGTATGGATATGAGTCCACAAGGCCGCTGCGGTTCGGGGAAGCCTCGCTGGGACCAGGGCAACCGTTATTCTACGTGGAGGATGAGGAGGTGGATTTTGAGAAATTGATTAATGCACCGTTGCCGAAGGTGCCGAGGGAGATCTCTTTCACTGGTATTGGCGTCTTCTGCTAAGGTGTGTGGATGTTTTACTGACTTTTCGCTAGCACACTGGTTGGCCGTTGAAGGCGTACAGCCGTCGATCCCTCAGAACCCTACCTCGGCGGACTCGAGAAACCTGGAATTAATGTCCAAGGGCCCTAATGCAAACTCTACCCTGGCGGCAATGAGCGGTAGTGGGAATGTTGCCGTTAAGCCGTTGGTCAAGCATGTGCTATCGAAGGAACTACAATTGTACTTTGAAAAGGTCTGCAGCGCCTTCCTGGACGAGTCTAGCGAGGAGTACAGAACGTCGGCCTATTCGAGCCTGAGGGAAGACCCAGGACTTCACCAACTCGTGCCGTATTTTGTGCAATTCATTTCTGAAAAGGTCACCCATGGCCTGAAAGACATCTTCGTCCTGACCCAGGTGATGCGCATGGCGGAGGCTCTAGTGCAGAATAAATCGCTCTACGTAGATCCCTATGTGAGTTTGCTTTCAATTTTTACCGTGTGTACGGGCTTTCTAATGTGTGGACGCCTTAGGTTGCATCTCTTGTTCCTCCCATCCTGACCAGTCTGATTGGTCGGCAGCTTGGAGGCAATGCGGACCTGTCCGAACAGTTTTCCCTCCGTGAGCTGGCCGCATCTCTTCTGGGCCTCATTGCCAAAAAGTACTCCCACTCCTCACACACGCTCAAGCCACGGTTAGCTCGGTCGTGCCTGAAGACGTTCCTGGACCCCTCGAAGCCGTTCGGGGCGCACTACGGAGCCATCATTGGTCTCCAGGCGGTTGGGGGAGCGGAGGCCGTGCGGGTTCTGATCCTGCCTAACCTACCGACCTACGGAGCCCTACTGAAAGACGGCATGGCGGAAGAGAATCCACGACGGCCCGAAGCAGAGAAAGTGCTCGCCGTGCTATTTGGGGTCCTCGGCACTTTGCGCGAGGGACGCACGGCACTTGCCAATGGGCATAATGGCGTCGTCACCGAGGATTTACGCGGGCGCCTAAATGGCAAAGTGGGAGAATTTCTCGCAGCCAAGATCAGCGAAGCGGGGGAGGTTGACCTGGTGCATGCGATCTTGGAATTGTAAATTTTGAAGCCCCCTCTTTGTTATCATCTTCCCTTTTTTTTTTTTTTTTTTTTTTTTTTTTTTTTTTTTTTTTTTTTTTTTTTTTTTTTTTTTTTTTTTTTTTTTTTTTTTTTT